GATGTATTTCTATAATTAGTTTTTGGACATCCCAAGTCCAAAATTCCCACATTTCCATCCTTAGCAGTTTACTCTGGGTTGCAGGTCTTTTTCCATATATTCTGGTGATGGTGTGAACTCTATCTTGCACCAGAAAAGTGTCATGCTGCAATTTTAAGTCCATTACGCCACATCCTGCACTCTGAGATAGAGAGCTGGCCTTTGTTTGCATTTCACCCCTTCTGGTAGTTAAAGAATAGTATTATATTCTTTATCAACTTTCTCATGGCTAAACATATCTAGTTCCTTTAGCTTCTCCTCATATTTCCAGTTACCTGTAGTTCTTAACCTTCTTCCAACCTCTACCCACACATCTGAATCCTTGAAAGCAAAGAAATGGACACAGTATTTAAGATGGGGTTACAGCACAGAATAAAGTGGAATTATTGCCACCTGTAATGTGGAAACCATCCTTTGAATAAACCAGGTAACTCATTTGAGTTAACTGCAGAAACTTACATTTCTGTCTATTAAATATTGACATTATCTGAAACCCATTTTCCTGATCTGTCAAGATTGTGTAGAATCTTGTTTTTTGCTTTGGTACTAACTGTCACACCCATTCTGCTAACTTATTATCTGGAAATTTGATAAGTGTTCCCTCCACCTCAACATTCAGATCATTCAAAACAACGTCCTTGTACAAGATAACGTTATGCCGCATTTCAAAATTTTGTGGGGTTCCACATTAGACCACTCTGCTGCTTGCTCATAACCTGACAAAATACCTAGGTCCCTGTTTTTATACCTAATAGAAAATGGGTTTAATAATATTGTAGGGTGGTCTACAGCAAGGCATTGAACAAGGTGCTTATGAAAGAAGATTGAGTTATGAGTTACAGGTTGCTGGGTGCGAGATCCTGTTTGTTAAGTTGGGCTCTAGGGTTCAGTTGAGACTGTTGCTATTGTACCAGCCTCCCTGCTGTGTAGCAACCTCCCTGAGCTATTTGATTCCATGGCTGGGTTGGCAGTGGAGTTCCCCACACTTATGGTCCTGGGGGACTTCAACCTGCCTTCTCTGGGATTGGGGTCAGAGGTAGCCATGGGCCTGTCCTAGGACATCCAGGGCCCAACATGTAACAGTGACCATACTCCTGACCTGGTTTCCTATTGGAGCAGTGGCAAGGTGATCTGGATTTAGGGGAGCTGGTTTTTCTCTTGTCATGGTCAGACCACTCCCTGGTAACCCTGCAGTTCTCTTGTGTCATCTCCCACCGCAGGGAGGCTGGACCTATGAGATATATCTGCCCCAGGCAACTAATGAACCCAGTTGGGTTGCAGAGGGAGCTTGGGGTTGCTTTGGACAGTCTGCTGCATGGTCCGACTGAAGCCCTGGTAGCTACTGGAATGAGAGGGCGGCTTGGGCTCTGGATCGGATTGTGCTTGATCCCTGCTTCTCCACCGGGCGTCCCAGAACTGCCCTGGTTCATGGAGGAGCTAAGGGAAATGACGCAGAAGAAGAGATGCCTGGAGACTGGAGGATGAGAAGGACTCGATCAAACATGAACTACAGCTGCTATGAAAGCCTACCTCATGTCAGTACATGTGGTGAAACATCAGCATTTCTCCTCCCTTATTGCATCCAGGGATAGCCATTTAACAGACTTGTTTTGGGTGACCTGAGCCCTCCTGGAAGGGAGTGGTTTGGGGATCCATTTGTAGAGTTGTGAGGAATATGCTAGGCATCTGATGGATAAAGTTGATCAGATCTGCTCTAAGTTGGGCTCTGGCCTTGGAGCAGGTCCTGCGGGGGCTGGGGCTGGCAAAGTTATCTGGGGGGAAGTTTGATCCTGTTGGGATTGAGGAAGTGGACAGGATTCTTGTGGCTGTTAGCTCAGCCACCTCTATGTTAGATCCATGTCCCTCCTGGCTGGCTGAGCCTGTCTGGGAGGGGATGTGTAGCTGGGTCTGAGTGGAGGTTAATTCCATTTTGAGGGGGGGGGTGGCCACACAGTCTCTTAAGGAAGCAGTGGTGTATCCCTACCTCAAGAGGCCATTACTGGATCCTACCATTCTGGAAGGTTGTGGATAAGGTGGTCTCACTGCAGCTTCAGAGGACCTGGGAAGAAGTAGATTATCTGGACCTCTTTCAGTCAGGGTTCAGGCCTGGGTACAGGACTGAGACAGCATTTATGGCCACTGGCAGGAGTGGGATGAGGGTAATGCATTTATCCTTGCTCTTCTTGACCTCTCAGAGATCATGGTATCGTTCTGGGTAGGCTCTGGAAGTTGGGGGTGGGTGGCACTGGTTCTCCTCTTTCCTCTGGGGTCAGTTCCAGTTGGTGTTGATGGGGGGGAGAAGAGGTCCAGCCTGTGGTCCCTCCTTTGTGGGGTGCCACAGGGCTCAGTACTTTCTCCTATCCTGTTTAAGATCTACATGAAGCTGCTGGGTGAGGTCATCCAATGGTTTGGGATGATGATACTGGGATATGCTGATGATGCTCAGCTTTATATCTCCATCCCAGGTTGTCTGAATGATGCAATGGAAGTTCTGTCTCAGTGCCTGGAGGCTGTGGGGCACAACGGGCTTCAGCTCAACGCAAACAAAATTGAATGGGTCCAGGTTTTTGGACCCCTTGGTTCCAGGGACGTTCTGTATTTGGTCCTGGATGGGATGGCATTGCCTCAAACTGTCATCCCTTTGAAGTAGACCATACTAGGAAATCAAGATTTGAATGCTGATACTTTTATTATAAGGTTACGGTAACAATCTTGCAAGTCTGAATGTGCCTCCCTCCCTCTGACCCTTTATCTTCAAGAGAACTAGGGAGGGTCAAGTCTGAGACGCTTTCTCAAATTACATTTCTGCCTCGGACTAAGATTTCTTTTGTCTGACAGTTGTTTTGGTTGTGGCTCTTTCTCCTGTTCCTCAAGGTTATTCTTACTTCCCATTACACAGGGCTGGTGTGCAATCTGGAGTCCTCCTGGACTCATGGCTCCTGCTCAAGAAGCAGATGGCAGCTATGGCTAGGACAACTTCAGATTGTGCATCAGTTGCAACCATTCCTGGACTGGGGGTCCTGCTCACAGTCACGTATACTCTTATACAGACTGGACTACTGTAACATACTTTGCCCTTGAAGAGTATTAGGGAGCTTCAGCTGGTGCAGAATGCAATGGCGCAGTTAATGGCCTCACTTATTTAGTGCATGTGACACCACTGTTCCATGAGCTGCACTGGCTTTCTGGTACAATTCAAGGTTCTGGGAGTCACCTCTAAAGCCCTTCACAGCTTGGAACTGGGTTACTTCGGAACTCTCTCCCCTCAGGTATTTGCACCTGTCCTACCTGATCCAGCAGGAGGGGCACACTCCAGGCACTGTCAGTCAAAAATGTCTAGCAGGGCGCAGAAAGAGCACCTTTTCTGCTGTGGCACCTGCCCTTTGGAATATCATCCCTCCAAACTGGCCCCAACCCTGTTGGCCTTTTGCATGGCCATGAAAACTTGTGGGATAGAGCCAATCTCCTGGCTGTGTGGATAATTGATTGGACGATGCCCAACTGGTGTGTGTTTTGTCTATTTTTATTGTAGAATCATGTGAGATGGGAGGCTATATAAATCAATTAAATATGTTTTTGGGATGGTGGAAGCAGCTGTACACAGAAAAAGCGCCCAGCCTCAGCAAGCAATCTATTACTGTCATCAGCACTAGACCACTTTTAAAGTTGTTTTGGGATGCAAAATGTGGCTGCCCACATTCATTAGTGTATTATTAGTTACATGGCAGCGGCAGCAACTAGAGTGCTTCAAAGGTCAGTTTAAACACTGGACTTTAACCTTGAAAGCCTCTTAAAGGTGCCTTATCTCACAGCCCCCATACTTGGAACATCTTAACTGAAGCCCTTATTTTTCTACTTTGGATCCTTTATACTGATGGGCATGAACAGTTCAGCTGGTTCCTACAGCCATCACGCTTAAGGAACTTGTTATCAGTTGAAGAGTCTGAAAGATGCATTTATTGTTAGTAGCTTCCTGCAAGTACTGGGGGTCTTGATGTAAATATGACTGATTTCATACTCCTGTTGTTTAGTCCCTGAATTTTAACTGTGCATTATTGATCTTTATGAACTTTCTAAGCTACTTCTTATCATTTAGGTGTCTTAGAACACCCTTTAATAAACAGAAAGGAAACATAAGCATCCTGGGAGGTGTGTAGCTAGAACTGAAGTTACACTGATGTGGTTCCTGAGTGGGTAGGACAGTTGGGATGGACATAACCGGAAAGTCAACCCGCCTCCTTCGGGAGAGTGACTGATTCCAGACCGCTCTGGTTTGCGGGGGGGGGGGCGCCTGATGATCTTTCCAGAAGATACATGAGGCTAAAGGCGGGAAAGGCTGCAATGCTCTTCAGACAGCACTGGGCTTGCCCTGCCCACGCTGAATTAGGGAGAGCTTGGCTCAGCCAATTGCTGTAGAAGAGACAGAGAAGCCGGATAGCCTTGGAAGAGCCTCCCCAGAACTCCTGTGGGGCTTCCACCCGCCTGGCTTCCTTCCCCCTTTGGCTCCACCTCATTGCCCAGAGCATCTGGTTTCTCAACCAGCATGACTCTGCTCATCCAACTTGGAGGCTGTTTCCACTCGTGCCCCGCCAGGTCTTGCCCCATGATCTCATCTCATCCCACAAATAAATCAGGCAGGCAGAGCAGGTCACGACCCATCCCTGTTGGGATAGAATCCAGATGTTGCTGGCCAAACGAAACTGATCCGTTTCCTTTTTTGGGAAAATACATCCCACCGCTAATAGATCCCACAGTGCAGAGGTACTAAGCACTCGGTTGCTAATCTCCAGAGAGGCGGGGGCAGAGCACCACCCAATCCCCTTTCAAAGTCATCCTCTCCAGTAGCACAAATGTTGTCTAGAAAGGGTCTTCTGCAAGCAAGAAGAGGTCTGTCCCAAACCCCCAGGCTCCCTCCCCCTTTCCCTTTCTACAGCAGAAACAACACATTACCCAACAGGAAAGAAACGACAGCGCGGAGAGATGTCTTTAATTCACCACAGCTACTTTGGCTCACATCCAGTTGTTCCGGGCAATGCTTGCTGGAGAATCTTGACTCCTGTTACAGGAGTCTCAAGAGTCCCCGTCCCTCCCGCTTTGGGGGTCAGTAGGCTGTGGTAGGACTACAGCATCAGGCTGACATGGATGTGAAGCAGCACCTGCCCTTTGTGGGAGCAACCCCTCGATTTTATCACGGGGCACTCCATTCTCCTTCCATGCACCAAATCCTGGGTGGGGCCAAGTCCTAAGTACTCCCAGCAGGCTCTGAAGACCAAGCATCAGAGGTGGGTTGGAGGAGGAAGTGCTGAATCCTTCAGGATGGGGAAGCAGCTCAGTGAGGAGACTGAATGCAAAACCCATCTCACCCCCCTGCTTCTTGAAGTGAATTATCCTCAATTATCCATTAACATGATTTATTAGAGAAAGTCAGAAAAGGAGGGGGAGAGATCCACTGACCAGATGTGAGCATCCACACCAACAGGCAGGCACCCAGCTGTGGTCTCTGACTCCCCGACAGCAAAGCATCTGAGGAAATGGCTACATGATTCATTTAAAGGAACATGCACAGCATTCCACCAAAGAGAGGCAGGAAGAAAATTCAGGCCGCGGAGAAAGTCTGCAGAGGCAACAGAGCCCCCTCCTTCCTGGCGGGGAGGGTCAGGTTGGAAGGGTGGGAGAGCCCAAGGACAGAAAGCAGCAGGCAGAGAGCCCAGGCCTCACGTTCCTCAACCTGGGGCAGGGGGCGGCAGGGGGTTCAAGCACGAGCCCGGGGGCTGAGAGAGAAAGAGATGGAGCTTCTGCGGGGGGCCTGTGCCAAGGCTTCTTTTTCAGCCACTCAGGGATTCCTGGGGACCAAAGGAGGGGAAGGACTCCCCCCCAGAGGGCTGCTGCCCTGGGTGGGAATGGAAAGAGACAGTGCCTCGGGAGAGAGATGAGGCCTCTGGGGCTCCTCTCTGTCCCCACCCCATGCAGAAGAGAGACGGGGAAGGGAGATGGCTAGAAAGAAACATGGTGGTGGAGGGGGACAGCTGGGCTGGCTACTGCTGGCATTCAGACAACTGGGGTGGATCAGAGGCAAGAGCAGACGCACTTTGGTGGGGAGTGGAAGGCTCCAGCCACTACTGAGAGACATTCGCCTGCTCTCTTCCAGGCCCCAAGAAAACAGCCCTTGAGGCAGATCACGGTTGGCAGTGGTGGGCTTCACTGCCACTCTGCTGGTAAAAAAGGGAACCGGCCTGAGCTTGTCAGTCAGAAGCAGACCAGGTGAGAAAGCTGAGAGCGCGCACCCCGGCCCAGATTTTGGGCCTGCAGGAAAGAGGAGGCTGGCGCCAGTCAGCAGTGCCAGGGAGGGAAGAGCCATCCCTGCCCTGCTGCTGCCCCAGGAGAGAACTTTGGCACACACACAATCTGGAGGACAACAACACAGGGTGTCCTTTCAGAGGTTGCCGGCACATTCCCGGCACAGGATCTCATCGTTGTCAGGGATGAAGCCCTTCCCCACGAGTGAGGTAGCGCAGCGGGAGCAGCTGAAGCAGTTATGGTGCCAGTGGCGATCCTCGAAGGAGACATACTTGCCTCCCCCAAAGCCTGGGGAAGAAAGAGGGAGGAATGAGGCTACCCGATTCCGCAGGTGAGCCAGGTCAGGTCCCTCCCCTGGAGGCTTGACCGCCCGTCCTCTCTGCTCACCTGTGATGGGCTTTGCGCAGGCGCTACACTTTTTGGCGTAAAGGCTGCCAAAGCACTTGACGCAGTAGGGCTGATCCTCTTGAGAAGTGAACTGCTGCCCGGCCAGGGGAGCCTTGCAACCCGCGCAAACGAAGCACTCCTTGTGCCACGGCTCATCCCGGTAAGTCACTCCTCCCTTGGTCAGCGACTACGAGTAGAGGAGCAGAAGTTCATCTCAGGGGCCTGCTCAGCCCCAGGGCCCTGAGGGAGTTCCTACTGGCTGCATTCCCTCCCCTCAAGGGGTCAAGATCTAACCTTCTTGCAGTGGGTGCAGCGGGGAGCAAATTTGCTCTCGTAGCAGGGGACGCAATAATAGTCGCTCTGCTCCGGGATGAAGGAACGAGCTCCGATGGGCTGCTGGCAGCTGCTGCAGATGAAGCAGTGCTCGTGCCAGGTCTGCCCGTTGTACTCCAGCTTCCGAGAGCCTGTGGGGTGAGGGATGGCGGGGTGAGCAACCAAAAGCCCTGCCCTCCCTCCCTGGGCAGCTGGGTCTGGGCGGGGGCGAGGAAGGGGCTTGGAGTGTCGCACCTGGCATGACCACCTGCTGGCAGGCCACGCACTGGGAGGAGAACTCCCGGCAGTAGCAGCCGTTGCAGAGCAGCTCCTGGCCCTGGCAGGTGAAGGGCTCGTCTGCCAGGGAGCGGTCGCAGCGGAAGCAGCGGAAGCAGCCCTCGTGGTAATGGCGGTCCTCGTAGTAGAGCTCCTGGGCAGGGGAGAAGCAGAGGTCAGAGGCAAGCCACTCGCTGCTCTGGGGCCCCTGGGACTGGCATTTCTGTTTCTCCTGTGAGGGGGCCCCACCGGGCCTTGCAGAAAGCCGTGCCAGCCTCTGGCAGCCCCAGAAACAGAACCACCAACCCCATCGGCTGTCAGCTTTCGCTGGCGGCACAAGCTGGATAAGCACGCTGCACTTTCTCAGGCACCGGGTGGCGGATACATAATGGCAGACAGGCTCCCCCCAACCTGAAGCAGATTCTCACAAGCCGCAAAGAACAATGGGATGATGATGCTAACGTGGGAAACAGACACTGCCACCCACCCCACGTTTACTTTGCCCCCGCATCTACACCAACGAGTGTCATCACAGGCCACAACAAATATACACACAAGGTTAGAGGCACCTTCACAAGCTCTTCCACTAACATGATCTATGTCATCATCTGCCTGCAGTGGCCCCTTGGATTCTACACAGGACATACAGGACAAGCTTTGTTCAAAAAAATTAATGAACATAAGCTTGACATCAGTACTCAAAACCACAACAAAGTAATATCAGCACATTTTGATCTCCCAAGACACTCCATTACAGATCTGAAAAGTAGCTATTTTGAAACAAAGAAATTCTAGCAGCACAACTGAACAAGAGATTGCTGAATTTACATACATCAAAAGGTTTCAGGATGTCTTAATAAGCACAATAGCTTTAAAAACACACACACACACACACAGCACAGCTGATAAAGTTCTTGAACTCTATTTCACATTTACTCTGTGTCTGCATCGTCACCTGCCTCCCCCTCCTTTCCATCCCCACCTCATCCTGGTTTGAACCCTACATCAGTCCAGCCACTCCACGCATCTGATGAAGTGAGGTGCAGCTCCTGAAAGCTGATGCCATTTCATAATATGCGATAGTTGGAAAAGGGGCAACTAACTATACCCTTTCTACAAATTCTTAGGATTGAAAATCAGGGGGAGAATGCCGCAAGGAATTTAAACTGGGTGGGCACAGCTCATGGGAGGGATTCTGAAGGATCACTGAAAGAGCGTGAATGAGAGGGGGCTGGGAGGGAGAAGTCCATAAAAGGGGTCAGCAGCTGAGAGGGTGGGTCAGACCACTAGCGAAGGGCAAGTCCTGAGCCTGGATCAGGCTAAGGCGGTCTTGAGCCTTACACCCGTTTCCAGTCGGGGAAGCCCGGAAGGGCGAGGGCCGGGCTTCCCACTCCTGACACTGGCCTTAGCTGTTAAAGCAATGACACGCCCCAGAGCTAGTGCTGTCCAACCTTAATTGTAATTTGTCTTTGGTACTGTTTAGATCATTTGATTGCATTTTATGTTTTTAGGTGCTGCCTTGCGAGGGCTTTCCTTACAAATGTCCAATGTAAATGATGGGGGAAAGGGGGGGGCAGCCAGGAGCGATGCAGGGCAGGAGCAGCCCACCCAAGCAGAGTCCCTGCCCCCTCACCCGGCAGTCGTGTCCAATGAGCTCCTTGCACTCATCACAGGTATTGGCAAAGTGGGAGTCATAGCAGGGGATGCAGAAAGGACCTTCATCGCCCTGGATGTACTTGCGCCCGTAAAGAGACTCCTTGCAGCTGGCGCAGTCAAAGCCGTCCGTCATGTTGCTTGCTGGAAGTCTACGTGCTTCCTGGGAAACAAGAAAAACAAACCATGGTTGACCTTCCTAGCCAAGATTTTGGGGGAAGATCCACCCACTGGGGAGAGATGGTCCTCTTTCTCCCTTCTTCTTTCTTTCATATGCACACCCACACAAGCTGGAGAAGGAAGGGCACCATTCGCTATGATTTCTACAAGCCACATGTTGCCCTGGAATTGAATGGTGAGGGAACTGCAACATAGCAAAATGGCTTTCTGAAGCATTCAGAATCCAATTCTTGATGCAATTTTCTCTTCTAAATTTCTGATGAGCTCTACACTCGGTGGCTCTTGGCCTCCACTGGCTACGCTGGAAGCCCATTTTTGGAACTCTGGGTATTCAGGAACAGGAAGACTCCCTTGGCTAGGTAGCCCTCTGGCTCTTAGCCAGGCACCCATCACCTCTCAGGGAGTTGTGGCAAGTCCACCATTCCTCACAAGTGCTTTTCTTGCCAGCAGAGACCCAATTCTGTCTTTCAGAAGCTTTGGCTAGATGCTGCCCTCCCACACAACCAGAGTAGAGGGGAGGAGAGCATCTTCATTCTGCCCAGGGCTTTCATCTAATGGGGTCTTTGGGTGGAGTAAAAACAGAGGAATTCCTCTAGACTTCTCCTCTCCTGTCACTGACCTCCAGCGCACTCACAGTATGAGCAAGGAGCTGCCATCCTCTTACAGGAGGGCTGATGGGCCAGTCTTCCAGCCAGGAGCTTCTGCATTAGCATGCCTGGACTAGCTGTCCTGAAACTGGGGGAGGGTGAGCAATCACTGTAGCCTCCAGGAAATTCCAGCATTTCAATACTTTTTGAAATAAACCAGAGAAGGAAGGAGGAGGGGATACGAAGACGGATCAGGAAGGGGGAAAACTGCAGAAGCAGCACATGCCGTGCCATGCTGCAACAAAAGCCAAACTCCCACCTGGTCCTCACCGAGCCAAGGGGCCCATCTCCTATGACAAGTGCCATCTTGAGTGGAACAGAAGAACCACATCCAGATTCCTGGATCACCAACTAACAATCCTCCCACCCCAATGGCTAGATAGATCTTCATCACTTGATCTAACAACTTCCGCGCACTTGAGCACCAAGCTCTGTTGCAATATTCCAAGTGGGTAGAAAGCTTGCAAGCACCATCTTTTGTCCCTTCTCCAAACACTAATATTTCTTACATTTGAAACTGGAACTCCGACAGTCTCCAAGGACAACAGCTCTCCTTATATGCCTGTGTTAAAAACTATACTGTACTATACTGTCTGTACATCTGATTATCCTTCCCTTCTGTGATGGAGGACTTGGATGAGGAGGTTCAAGGTCATGGGGAGAAGCATCTCCTCAGCCCACAGCCTGAACGTGTGA